CCGGCCAGGGCTCGAACCCGGACCGCTCGATCCGGAGACGAGCGCACTAACCATGAGGCCACCGCGCCTCCCTTCCTTCAGTACTAGTATAAATCTGTATTAATAAGGTAGCCATTATAATATGATAAGGATTGACGTATTGTTTTAAAAAGCAATACATCAGTACCTGGTGGATATATTCGGAGTGTCTCGGATATCACCATGTCAAGGTATGGCAGCTCATTCACTGTTTCATAAGTCGGCAGCTGTTCCCCATCAGTCCACACACTGTCAATTTCCTGCTGCAGTTTATCTTGAACATCCGGGTGTGTAGCTATGTGGTAGGACGTCAGACCAAGTGTGTTACTGCTAGTTTCATAGCCAGCAATAAGGAACACAAAACTTTGAGCAATGACTTCCATGTCTGTCAGCTTCTTTGACTCTGGGACATTTGGGTCATCTGAGGCTGCCAGCATTACATCCAACATGTCCTGTGATACAATGATACAATTATAATATATAGATTTAGCCAAGCCTAAAAGTGGAGCTCCTGGGCCGGGTTGTTCAAAGCCCGATTAAGCTAACCCAGGATAAGCAAGAATTTTGATTTGAGTTTTGTAACTTTGCACTGATATTTTCTGTTTATATTGTTTGGCCTTCTGTTTTAAGTTTGAATAATCTCAAAATACACAAAACATAAACAGTGAAAATCCTTTGTATACAAGAAAAATTTGTCCTCCAGTTAACTTTTAATCCTGGGTTAGCACTAACTGGCTTCCAAACAACCTGGCCCTGATTACAGCAAGGTAACCTGACATGGGCCCTGGATTCAATCGAAAACCAGCACTTGGTCATCAATCAACTTCAAAAAAAAATGTGACCTCAATGAGCTCTAAACTTGAGCCTGTGAAATGGTCTCGTGACACTGGTCAGCAGACACCTTGTTTTGACAGGTGCCAATTGACCATAGCATGGAAGTCCAACATCAAAGATGGATGCTTTTAGCCAAGACTACACGTCTCTGTCAACCTATTAGCTTGAGTATAGCCGCCATCTTGTGCGACTCTGCTGTCACGCGTAAGTGCCCACGAGCAATACCGCTAGCCATGACAACCATGAGAAAATCAACCCCAAATCATGGGTTTCTTTTCTTTCCTATATGAGTATGGGGCTCCGCTTGGCGGCCCATCTGCTATGAAATAAAGACCTAATAACTGTTGAAACTTTTGTAATGGGTGGAGAGACGGACTGCAGGAGAAGTGCCTTGCCTAAGAACACAATGCAATGACCCCAGCCAGGTCTCCAGTCTGGACTGTTCAATCTGTGTCCAGTGAGCTAACCATTGGTCAGGCCACCATGCCCTGGACATGGGTGCTTATTGGAAAATTTGAAAACAACCCCTAAGAGGTACCAAGACCCACTTTTGTGGGTGTGGCTTGAAATTATTTTCTGCCCTAAGAGGTACCAATTCTTACATAACACCTTATCTCCTGCCACAACTGCAAAATCTCTCGCTGTGGACCTTTCAAGGCTAAACAGCCTAAGAGGTACCAAAACTGCGTTTTTAACCACTAAAAGGTACAACAAGCATCCCCCCCGCCACCCCGGCACCATGCCTCCCACACTCTGTGTTATAGAGATAGGGATATATATTTAATTCTGGTTTCTCTGGGACCAAGTGAACTGTCCTTAATAAAAAGAGCTGCGCATTCTATGTACATGTAGGTGTCTGCTAGAAAATGTCTACATGTAACTATACATGAAATCTGGTCTATATACATAGGTAAAAAAATTTTAAGGACTTAAACCCTTTGCAGAGTGATCATGTTCTGATCCTCAGTGTTAAAAATTCTTGTTTTGTTTCCACCTATTTAAAGCAGATTTAACCAAGTTGATAACTTTTCTGGGTTCTTTGCTTGAAGCTGGCAATATATGCATCCACATTAATATTAGTTGGTAAACTTTTAAACAAATTGCATAACCTTCTTAAGCTGCCTTGGATTAAAGAAAAATAAAAATATACACCATATATCTACTTAAGAATACAGGGCTAAAACAATACTTGAACTCCAGCCTGCCCTTCAGACAAGTACAGTCAGTGTAGCTCTCAAATTTTGCGTGCCCTATGTAAGTCTTCATTTACTTTTTTTTACTTAGTTGGTAGACAAATTGCTGGGGCCATTGCCCATTGGGCAAGTGAAAATAAACGGCAGGAAAATCTACTTGTCCTGAATGACTGGGCAGCACTTTATTTGAGCCCTGAGATTAACTATTAATAATAACGATACAAAATTACCTTTCTAGACAAATTTGCCTTTCCTGCTCTCTTTATGTTCACCATTTCTTCAGCAATCTTAAGTAATGGCATACTATTTGCCATCAAAAAGTTTGGGAACATTGAAATTATTTTAGTTCCAAATGGCATAACTGAAAGGACATTCAGCAAAATCCTCTCAAATGTGCTTCTATTCATGGAATTACGAGCTGCCATGGCAACCGGATCATCAGGATTCTCTTGAGGGTTTGCCTCAATGCCAAATGCTGCTGAAATTATTACATCCATTGTAAGAGCTTGATGAAACCTGAAAATGTGATCTCCATGTTAATCATAGAACAAAACATTTTGTGGCTTTGCTTGATACAACAACAACAACATTAATACATTTCAAATACAATAAAATTACAACCCTTAATTTCTTGAGTAAATATTCTAGCCAATTACTGGTATATGCTTACATGGCCTATGATATTGCAAGATAAACAGTGCCGGTGCAACAAGCCATATGCACAAGGTAAAGTAATGTCACACACTACTGTAACTAACGTTAGTATCGTAAGTTATATTGATTAGTATTGTAAGTAGAGTTGGTATTGCAAGTAATGTTAACTAGGGTTTTGGAAGCAAATATGTCGCTATTGTTAGTAATGTTAGTATTGCAAGTAATGTTAGGTAGTATTGTGAATCATGTGTGTTTAAAAAAACCCTTCCTATTTGAAAAAAAAAAAACATGTACAGCAGAACATTCCAGAATGCTGTATAATTCCTGTACCTCACATGGACCATAGTTCACAATAAATTACTTAGAATTTCATCAGTCTACCAATATGGTCGCCTGACACCTTCTAAGCTAACAAAGGGTGGTTTTAAGCTTCGATGATCTGCAAGCTTCCTGTTATAAAGGCGTTCCACTGTGATAAAACTAGGCAACAAAGGGTAACCCAGAACATTCATATTTTAAGGCAATCTGTGATATCTTTTGCTTCTTGAAATTAGCCAAGGTAAAATGTCTGAAATGTGGAGATAGATGTCAGTCTGTATGGCGGTCTCTATACATAAAGGTTGGACTGTATTATATTATTTATTGCCTTAAAAATTCATTCTACACATACTTAAACATGTCAACACTTTGTTCCTTGTCTGCAACCTTGCTAAGCTTTCGCATCAAAGTGTCACAACAGGAATTCATTAAAGGCATCATCTGCTTCATCTTAAGACCACTAAATGCTGGAGTCAGCGTGTTTCTGATGCGCTTCCACTTTTCCTTCTCTGCTCTTGTCATCATACTGGAAAATGGCTCTGGCACTTCTATATTAAATGACTAAAATATAAACATCAAAATATTTCAGAACAGAATTCATTATGATATTTTCAACTCCCTAAAGACCTTATCAGTGCTCTAGGGTCGTTATAAAAGCAAGAAAGTGACCGGTTTCACTCTCTCCTCTTGTTCAATAATTGGCCATCTTTACAGTGCTCTCCTTTTTTCAGAAAAGAGGATCTATTACAGGACTCTCTACTGCCAAGTTATTAATGCTTAAGACAAAGTAAGCATTGATGAGATCTCGCAAACTGGTAATGTAAATGTGCAGCTGAATGATACTACATGTACATTCAAATCAGACAAATATTCAGGGCATTAAGGAATCAAGGTAAGGGAAGTGTGAAATGTACCCGAATAGAGACTGCGAACTAAGGAAAACTTATGTGTCCCTTGAGACAACAATGCAAAAGTAAATTTATATATACTGTTCTCTAAAAAGACTAGGCAAGCAAAACTCGAAAGTGCTATTTAAGGCCAGCAGGGGGGATGGGTACTCCCTATGTAGGTGAATGGGGATGTGCCACTGGATGGGGTCTCATTTTCATGACTGGATTGATTATTATGGGGTTGCATTTTCCATAGAGTTGCTAGAATGGGGTTGCACATTTTTTTTGTATTTTGGGGGTAAGTAAATTCTGGCAAGTAGGAATATAAAGAGCAGTTCCCAATGGAAAAAGCGAAGTCAGCAAGCTTCACTTTAAAATTATAAACAGGTGAACATCATAGAGATCGTGTTTGTAAAAAATAGTGACTTGGATATAGGCGTTCTCCAAAAGTACATTAATGTGCTATCCAAACGTGCATTGTTGTCCATCTGCATCGTGCATTGTTGCCCAAGTCATTATCTCCCTTTAAGCTGTTGGTCAAGTCTTCAATATGCTTATTCCTTATCATTTCGAACTCTTTAAAGACTGGTGTGTTGGTTCTGAGTACAGAATTTTGCCGTCTAGAATAAAAGGGCAAACCACGATACACAATGCCACGTTTGTTGCTGCGATAAAAAAAAAGACAAAACTTTCCCCTACCCAGTAGAATATCCAAAAGCCCAAAGACAATAGGTACCAAAGAAATCTCAGGGGAGTGGGAGAGAAGCAATTTCTTAGTATTTTTAAAGGGCTACTTGCCTTACCTACCCTGCAGGGGAGTTCATATAAGCCCCCAGCCACCTCAACAAGAAGTCAACAGAGTTAACAATGAAAAGTTTGACAGATTTCAGTTACGGTCTTTTAGTATGTCATCATACTGCGTCCAGCTGACGAAAATATTACACATAATACTGACAGCTGAAGGCCATGTTTTCTTTCAGGAACTAGCATTTCGCTCACTTGGAGTACCTTTCCCAATATTCTAACCTCAAAAGTCCTCCGTCCTATGGACTTCACTCTAAAAATGGGAAGATTCGCACTGAAAACGTCGTTCCCGTTCTCAATTCAGTTTAGAAAATGTGTCACTTGTGTGTAAACTAGTTTAGAGGTAGATGCATAAACAGAAAGTGACTAAGTTGCAATTCAACATATTATGTTTAACAACACTAATAACGGTTTCATTAGTAAATCCAGTGGCAGATCTAGGGGAGGGGCTGGGGGG